CTGCTTTCACTTCTGCGGGCGTAAACAGAGCCGCCGCATAAAAGGACGTCGCGTCAGATAGAGGTAGAAGAGGAGAGAGATGACATACAGGTTTTACTCATCACCACTCTGCCCTTGGCGCCCTGGGAGATGGGTTTCCACAAGCCAAGACCCCTTTTAATCATGTTCACTAAGCCCAAGCTCTTACTTTGACGATGTGCATATACACGTGTGTGTGTGTGTGTAAAAAGGGCTATTTATAACTATACATTAATGTGAATGGTGTTTTTACCTAAACTTTTTACAATTACTTTCGCTCTTTATTTTTCATCAATGAATATCAATTCATCTAATGATATCAAAATGTAGAATTAAAGAAAAGCCTAGAAAGAAAAAACGCAATGTGTATGGCATCCATTTATAAACATCCAACAATAAATTGTTGAAGTAAAACATAAATAAAATGAGTAAAAAAAATAGATAAATAAATAAATAAATTAGATACATATCAACAGTTCAAGAATCATAACATAAGAAAAAGCACTGAAAATACTGAAACTCTGACATTTAATGTTAGGATCAGATTATCTAGAAATATAATATATGAAAGTACGAAATATATGTAAGCAGGGTTTTAGCAACATCTTAAACTTCACGCTTTTGATATATTGACATTGGCATCTGAATTGGAAATGATGAACAAAAGAATGTCAAAGAAGTATTTAGAAATATCATTATTTGTCCGGTTATGTGGAGAATAAATTATACATTCAAACTGTGAAAGAATGCGAAAAAATAAACATAGAGGCAAACTGACAAACAAATAAACAAAAAAACTGAAACCTTGCTTTGACCAGATTAACTCTCATTAATTCAAAACCCAGTCAGTTCGCCCGTCATTCAGAGAGGAGATTCAGTGGAACCAGAAGGAGGCGAAGTGTGACCTTCCTGCGGCAAGAGACGTGAGCGGCGGCCGGAAGGGAGGAGCGGCGAAGGTCGTAGTGGCAGCGGGGGGGTCAAGCCAGGTGGAACGAGGGGGTCTGCCGGTTCGTAGAGGTTGTTCAGGGTCTCGTAGCAGCTGGGGTCTCCTATCGCTGGAACGAGACGATGTAGGTATGACAGGGTCTGATGGAAGGATGTGATGTATATTTTTACATGCATATACATGAATACTTGTATGTGTATTCACTTAAACACTTACAAGGACACAGCACGAGTAAGAAATATCTAAATAAGCATTTTAACAGAGAGGCAGTTAATAAAGGCAGCTGAACGGAGAGGCCGTTAAAACTGCAAGTTAAGAGACCGACAAAAAAGAACGAAAAGCAGCCACACACAATTACCAAACGACTTCGACGGCGGCCGGAGGTTGGCCAAGGGCACCATCTCGTCGTAGTAGGCCTCGTGGAAAGGCTGCCCCTGGAGCGACGACACATAACTCTGCCTCAAACCGGGATTCGAGAGGATGTCGACCGGGTTCACGGCTGAGACTGGCTGACCGGGACCTGGATCGTGTTCCGAACCGGGAACTCGAAGCGTCTCGGTTGCCCTCGGCGTTCCGTTCGGACCTCGCTGGCTTCGTCTTCGTGCTGTCTGGCATGAACACGAGGCGGAATCTAGCGTCGTATCTTGTTCTTGTGGGGCGAGATTTCCACTGAACAAGACGGGGTACGGCAAGGGCTGGTGGCTTATTCCCGCATGGAACAATGAGTTAAAATAAAGCGTTTCGAAGGTCGGGTGCCGGTACATCGAGGGCAGACCAGGTTCCTCAACACAGCCTGTAGCAGGTCCTTCGTCCTCCTCCTCCTCGACTGGCGGATCTGGAAGCTAGATAATGAGCTTCATGGACTCTCTGAATCGATCTGGTTTCCCATTTCCCATTTTCGATAGGCCTACACATATGCAAAGAGGGCTTCGTTAAGGGAAATCTTCATACCTTATTTCTTTTGCGGTGATAGAACTTTGTTATTGCTGCAAATGCCAGTATGAGCACCAACAATGCAGCTGCAGCCGTCACATAGATATATGGGTTAGAAGTTGATGATCCTTGAGGGGAAAAAAAAATACATTCAGTACTACACGCACGACACACACGCACACACATATATATGTATAAATAAATGCACATGTACAGCCAGCAACAAAAGCGGTGACACCTCGCCAGCTCTGGCTCGGTGAGATCATGTCCTTCTTGCCCTGAAAGGAGGCCCACCTTCAAACAACCAGGGCATAGTTAAGATGGTTCGAATGTGAGGAGGAGGGAAATTACGGAAATCAGGCGAAGAAGTGCAATAATGACAAATATACATGAAGAGAGTTAGAGAGAGAGAGATCGTTCATTCATGTTTAGTTGTTAATTTGATGGATATATTGGAAACCTGCCTTAAGAAATAAGTTATCGTATATTATTTCGAAAATAATTATCAAGAAATCTTATCGCATCGTTCTATTTCAATTCCTTGTCATATATTCTATATAAACTTGAATATTGTTGGAACTGACTATTCTTCAGACGGAAATAACCCTCATACATATATGAAGGATGTATATTAATATATGGCTCTGCATTATCCTCAGCAGCTACTCTCTCTCACTCTCCTCCGTCTGATATCACCTGGATCCGCTATTTGGATAATATGTTATAATGTCATGTTATTTGGAAAACAACATATGACATTATTTCATACGCCATTATATTTTCAAATGTTTACAATTATTTAATTCCAAAAATAACGAAATGAATATGTAAAAGACGGATATCAAAAGCAATGGGTTTCTTGAACAGTTTGGAGGGGGGACATCGACAAGGTGTAGGACATCAGCTGCTGAAACGACAAATAAAGGTGTAAGAATTGATACAGTCAGGGCTAAGGGAATATCCCCTTAGCCTTGGATAGAGTGAAGCTAGACTCGGCCCTTCGCGAGGTGAGTGAGCAAGCATGAGCCGGGAAAGGGATTCGCTGGGAAGTGCCCAATCTGCCCAAGTGTAAAGACTGTCACCTAATAATTTGACACTAAAGATATGTTAATAGTATAAGTTTCGCAACACCTGCATCATATATACCCTACCATCATTATATTAATGCACCGTTGCGCACATTCACTTTCTATAAGTATATGATCGTGTGTGGCGGAGCCAAGTGGCCCATCACACTCAAGCTGACCCCAACCTAACCGTGCTTCGCGATTCAAGAACGCGACTGGAGGTCGTGGTTCGTAGGAGGCACCCAAACGAAATAAAAGGAAAACAAGGGAATCGATACCTAAACCTTAACACCCCATCACGGTTGAAGTTTTGTGGCCAAAGCCATTTATTAATGTTTGGTAGCTCAAGAGGCGCTATTTAAAACGATACATTATTCACACACACACACCACACGTGTGTGTGTGAGAGAGAGGGGGAGGAGAGAGAGTGAGAGGGAGAGAGGGGTGGGTTGCGGACGGTAGCCTCGATAAGATGACTGAAAACCCGAACACTTACTCCTTGCTTTGCCTAGCGAACCCAGATCACCCCCTCCTCCCCCCCCTTTTATAACTATGTCCAGGTTGTTTGAATGTGGGCACTTTTCAGGGCAAGAAGGGCAAGATCTCTCCAAGCTAGGTCTGGCAAACATCGCTTTTGTTGTTGGCTTGTATGTGTATATATATATATATATATATATATATATATATATATATATATATATATATACATATATATATATACATATATCACATATACATATACATATATACATATATATACATACACATATACATATACATACATACATACATACACACACACACACAGAGAGACATATATATATATATATATATATATATATATATATATATATATATATATATATAATATATATATATTTATCTGTGTGTGTGTGTGGTGTGTGTGTGTGTGTGTAATATATATATTATATATATATATAATATATATATATATATATATATATATATATATATATATCCACAAACCCACATTCAAATCCGTAAATTTGAAATTCAAAGTAGTATCAAAGACTAAGATCATGGACCACAGCAAATATTAAACCCAGTCTAGAAAGGAAAAAGGAATACCTATCTCGCCCTCCTGTGTCTGACGGACGCTGACAACGAACGGTTCTCCTGACGACGAGCACACTGTCAGGACTCGAGGAGACGCCTTCCCGTCGTTCTGTGTGGGAATGCGGAAGCTGTGAGTTTATTGGTCGATGAATTGGTAAACTGTCGTTACTGGAAGATGATGGTGGTTATGACATGGGGTTTTGCATTCCTTTTGTGCGAAAGGTCTCATGTTCCCATGAAGTGCTTTGGATTTTCTTATGTTCAATTTATGAGTCCTTAGATGAATAGTTCTGTTCCATCAGTTTAAGAGAGAAAAACGCGTTTGGTTAATAGACACAAAGTAGACAGTGTTAGAGATCTTACCTGGTTGTTTCCAAAGGGAAGCGCAGGACATTGCGTTCACCGTTCAGAGGTTGGCATCCGCTGCACCGCTCGTCCTGCACAAGAACCAACTCGCCATTCCGACGAACCAATTTTGCCTTGAAATCTTCGGTTACGAGAAGAGGAACGAAGGATTTGTTTGACAAGGAGCCAACACTCAGCGTCTTGTTACTCGCAGGCGGGAGGAGGACGTGTGCGCAGGTCGGTCATGGTCACTAGCCACTGGCTGCGCGTCACACAGCTGATTAGCCAACACCCCTTTAACCGTGATGTTGAAGGAGTTGCACTTTTTAGACATCTCGATGCTGGTCCAAGGACGTCCTTCGGCGTCTGAAAGTCGTAAGGTGTCCGTTTGGAAAACAAATTTCATCCATCCCTCTTTTGATGTCGGGGACTTTCTTGTTTCTTGTTTATTGGAATTTAAAAATCCTTCTTTCCAAACAACGTCTTGATTAGTAACACTGAGAAATAATAATTCTTGATGGGAGGTACAGAGCACTTTTGCCGTGAATATAGAGCCATTGTGTTGGACGTAGGCAAAGAAAGAAGCCGATTCGGGTGTTGGTTTCTTTATGCGGAGCCGATCTTGAACCAAACAATCTATGGATGATGGAAATTTGATATTAGAGAAGCAACTATAAGAGGAAGATAAAGACTGTAATACTTATTCATCTCTTTCGTTACATTTCTTATAATGATACAACAAATCATCTAACACCGCAAAACTATTTGTCCGCTTTGCAATCTTTCACTTGATTACACACGCATGTAGTTTTCGCGAAAAGAGCCTTACCTTCCTCCACGTAGACTGCCCCGCCCTTGAAGACCAGCAAGAGGCCCAAGCACATCAGCCACAGCATGACCCGCTTTTATTCTGTCCAGGGAAGCAACCGAAGGCACTGCTGCGAGACTACTGCGTGTGTAGGACCTGGGTGTTGCAGGGAATTGTCTGGACGTCCCGGTTCCACCAATAGGATGTCTCGGCCTTGAACTCTGAGCCAATAGCCGTCAGCCTGTTTACGTTATAAACAGGAAATGAGAGAGACAAGGAAGGGGAGGAGAGGGAGGGAGAAGATTGATAGCCAGATGGGCGAAGAGGCGTAGCTAGGACCTTTGGGGCTTTGGGTTGGGGGACGGGATTGTCTCCTTATATTATTTAGGCTTGATGGAAAAAACAAGGAATTTATAACTACTTGTTTGAAGTAAAAACAATATTTTCCGTTTATCTGAACAATAACATTTGAAATTAAACAACAAAATACAACGTACGCTTCCGTATTACCTTTATAATGTACATGGCTAAAGATCTTATTTGTCTAACTGCTATATCCCATGTTGTCCAAAATCATATATATAACTAATTTTAATTACCTGTTTATTTTAGATAATTCCATGTTTAACATCATTTAGAGGCATACCCCTACCGGGACCCACTGGGGAGGGAAGGGGGGGGGGTGATAGTGGCATATATGAAAAAGAAATACATATATACTTTTGGTATGTCTTTTATTCACGCCAACTTGTTTTTCTAGTGGTAATCCTTCTTCATATCAACTGCAATTACTAAATAACATCTATGTGTACGTGTTTCTTCAGGAACATAATTCCTTTTGTTATGAAATGCAGTTTGAACTTTACATTACAGGTGAAATTCCTTTGTCTATTCTCAGTCTGGTGGTTCACTAAAGAAAATACAATTTAGATTTAACTGCGTGAAAAGAGGAATAGAAAAAATCCATGATCATCATCACTACAATTTTATTTTTCTAAAAATCTGTAATGAGATGGGAATTGAAAAAAACAACAACAAAAACAAGCAAGATAAACAAGAATGAGCGCATTTTAAAACAGTGTAGCTGAATGCCTATTTTTAATAATGTTCTACGAATTCATGTCTTGAATTCTATCCATGTAAGTCTGTCTTAAAAATCCCATGATAATAGATCGTAGGTTATATTATGCATGGCACTGTGTAGACCTCTGGATAGGTTAGAAGACTGTCGATTCTTCACGTGCCTGTCTTACTTGCGAAAGGAATAGGATGAAAAAGTTAAAAAGAAAAGAAAAGGAAAGAAAGAAAGAAAGAAAGAGAAAAAAATAATGATAATTAATAATAATCAATAATAATAAGAAGATATAAAAGAAAATAATAGTCCAAACGAAAAGAAAGAAAGAAAGAAAGAAAAAAAATCAATAACGATAAATAACAATAATAAAATAAATCGAGATATAAAGATAACAACAAGAAACACCACAATAACGAGGGCTTCCCCTACGACAGCTGATATTGGATTTGCACGATCAATTCCCCTCAATCTGCCGTCGATTAAGCCACCTCAAGGCAGGCTCCGTTGCTGACGGGGAAGAGCTGCTGGCAGAGGAAGGCCTCGAGAGTGGCTTCGTGTCTTTGCTTTGCTTTGGGATACATTGCAGAGGGTTTCCGTGACCTTTTCTGTCGAGGATTAGTCGACCTGTGTTATTATCATTGTTATTATCTTTCTTATCGTTATTATTATTATTACTATCATTGTTACAGTCATTATTACTAGTGTCATTATTATCATTAACATTATTGGTCGTCCTGACTTATTATCATCATTATCATTACTATCTTTATTATCATTATTATTATTACTATCTTTGTTACAGTAATTTTTACTAGTGTCATTATTATCATTATTATTAGTTGTCCTGACTTATTACCATTGTCATTATTATTTTATTATCGCCAATATAATAATCATTATCATTGTAGTTTTTACCATCATTATAGCTATCATTATTATTATCTTCATTATCATTAATATTATCTTTATTTTCGGTATGATAATCATTATTATTGTAGTTATTACCACCATTATTGTTATTATTACTATTGTCATCATTATCATTATCATCATTAACAATCTTTATCATTAGTAGCACCTGTAGTATGTATCACCATTATCATTATTATCAATTAATGATTAAGGAGCTGGGAGTTATGGCGAGGAAGTCAGCAAACCAGGTTATTATTTTAAGTGAAGAAGATCGCCACATTCTTTGGCCATAACACACACGCGTGCACTGACACATTCACACGCATAATACATGGGTTAATGATTTTAAGAATAGAGGATATGATTAACATTCACTCATGGAAGATAATCGTTAGTCTGAAAAGTCTTTGTAAAATTACTCAAATTGTGGGGATTTTTTTGCCCCAAGTTTATATCATATTCAATCATTTTTTTTTTTTTTTCTTTTTTTTTTACTGTATTTAGCATTTTAAAATCTCACTTTGCAGTAGATCGGGTGAAAATAAAACAACAAATAATCAGAATTTAGCATTCTACAGCGATTTTTCTTTAGCGAAAAAACGCTAAATTTCCGTTTTACATTTTAGATAATGCTACTAAAATAAAACATTTTTGGAACATTACAAACATAAATTCGTTTTTTTCCAACAAAACTACAGAATATCCATTCTTGATAAGAATACAATACACATCTGTAATGCAGCTGAACTGGCAAAAAGGAAGAAATCATTTATCCAAAACAATCAATCAAAGAAACAAAACAAGATAATCAAAGACACAAAAATCACATTCTCCTCTCCAGCTCGGTCCAAGACATTTAATTTCACATAAAAATCGATCACAAACAACCGCCAATAACGACACATGGATATTGTTAATACCAGTCTACTGAAACAGGTTTCTTGGAGCGGTGAAATGGCCACTTCTGAGAATCTTCAAAGATGACTGAAGAAAAGCGCTTCCTGGTTACATAAAAAGAAAGAAAAGAAAGAAAAACAAAAACAAAAAACGTCACAAACATCCGCCAATAACAACACATGGGTATTGTTAATAAGTCTTCTGAAGCAGGTTTCTTGAGCAGTGAAACGGCCACTTCTGAGAATCTTCAAAGATGACTGAAGAAAAGCGCTTCCTCGCTGGACTTAAGATTCTTGTGCTTGTCTTGCTTCAGAAACCATTCATCTTGGGACCTGGAAACAAGCAAGCAAAACATGAAAAATGACTACATATTCTTGCAATTCGCAATACATAAATGCATATGCACACATTTTTATATATGTATATGTATAAATATGTATGTATATATATACACACAAGCCCAGGTGTGTATCTACATGAGTGTGAGCGCGTTCATACATTCACATGCATATATCTATCTGTTTCCCCTCTTTCTATACACACACACACACACACACACACCACACACACACACAACACACACAACACACACACACACACATATATATATATATATATATATATATATATATATACATAGACAGCTTGATAGGTAGATATATTAATGCATCTCTTTCTCTCTCTCATATATATGTATATATATACATATATGTACATATATATGTATAATATATACATATACATATATATATATATATATATATAATATATATAATATATATAATATATGTACATATATGAAATATACACACAACATATATGATGATTATTATCAACTATTATTACCATTATCATTATTACGGTATGCCAAATTACGAGCCACACTGAAACAAAGGAAAATTATACCCCTAAAGGTGTCAGTGCAGGTCAAAATGCAGAATAGAAGATCGAGAAGATATCAACAGCTATTTACTTAATAAAAACATAATGATCTTTTAAACTTATATATCGCTTATATGTAAAATGAAAAGCAAAGGGCCAAGAGCACTACCCTGAGGAACCCCAGAAGACACACGGGAATGCTACCATCAACATGAACACGTTGCTGTCTACCAGTTAAAAGAAGAGTTAAAATACTGAACTTTTTACCACCAACCAATCCTTTACCAACAGACTATAACTTAAAAATCAAACACGTGATTAATAACGTCAAAAACTGCACTAAAATTCAAGCCTTGACTCCTGATCCTTAACTTCAGCAGACTGCATTTCATGCACCAAATAAGCAAAACATCATTACAGCCGAGTCTCTTTCTAAAACCAAACTGAGTCTCAGAAAGAAACGGGTTCAGAAGCACAGACCAGCAAACGTAAAAAAAAAAAAAAAAAAAAAAAAAAAAAGTGTAATTGGAATGGGCCTATGTTCAGTAGGTGGAGACTGTAGCGGGCCCCTTGGCACAGCCCCAAGCATTACCAATAGCCTTACGCCTTGACTGATAATAAGCCTTGACGAACTAAAAGGTGGGTCTACTCCACCGCATTTGTTCAATTCTGAATACAGATACTTGACGATATATAACTATAATATAATACATATGTATATATAATATACTATATATATATATATATATATATATATATATATATATATATATATATATTATATATATATACATAATATATATATATATATATATATATTATATATATATATATATATATATATATATATATATATATATATATATATATATATATTTGATAATATATATATAATATATATAATATATATGATAAATATAATTCAATGTTATATATATAATATATATACAAATCACAGCACACACACACACACACACACAGCACACACACACACACACACACACACCACACACACCACAATATATATATATGTATATATATATATATATATATATATATATATATATATATATATATATATTATAGTCTGTGTGTGTATGTGTGTTGTGTGTGTGTGTGTGTGTGTGTGTGTATGTGTGTGTGGTGTGTGTGTGTGTGTGTGTGTGTGTGTGTGTGAGTGATATACATATATATATATGTATATGTATATAATATATATATATATATATATATATATTATATATATATATATATATATATATGAGTGTGTATGTGTATGTAATTGTACTATTTGTGTCAGAAAACTGAATTTGTCCTCCTTTCACGCTCACAGTGAAAGGAGGACGATTGACTGGCTGGCATCAACCAATCAGAATCGGTATTAACTGAAGCGCTCTTACAGATACCTATATTTAAGCGATCTTTAAGATATTTATAAAAAAAATATATATATGAGATACAGTTACCTACTTCCACATACCTTATACTGTCAGTACTCCGTTAGAGATAGAAGGGTCAGCGCCACCACCACAGCCATCGCGATCACCGTGAAAGCATCTTGGTTCGAAGTCGCGGGAGCTAATAAAGGATATAAGAATATATATACATATACAGACAGACATGTGTATGTTTCTACTTCCTCTTCTTTATATCTGTTTATTTGTACTTGCATAAGCACATATATACGATCCCATAAAAGAGTAAAAAAAATCAACAAACACAAGAATACATGTCTTTACTTCTGAGTGAGTGCTGAGCAAAGTTCTCTGTTCACCTCCACTCTTGAGAATTTAAAAGGCAAAATAAATTCCTAATCAATAAAACAATAATTAGGAAGAATAAAAGAAATACCGATCTCGCCCTCCTGTGTCTGACGGACGCTGACGATGAACGGTTGGCGACGCTGATCGACGGAGCACACCGTCAGGACTCGAGAGACGTTCCCGGGTCGTCTGTGTGGATTGCGGAAGCTGTGAGTTTATTGTTCTCGATTTGACATTGGTAAACCTGTTTTAAGGGAATGGTAGTTATGACCATGGGGTTTGCGATTCCTTTTGTGCGGAAAGTTCTCTATTTTGACTTTGGATTTCCTTCTGTATCCAATTTTGATTCTCTGTTCCAAGTTCTTTCTCAGTTAAAGAGAGAAACGCGTTTTGGTTAATAGACACAACAGACAGTGTTTAGGAGACTTACCTGGTTGCTTGCCGGCAATGGGAAGCGAAGGACATTGCGTTCACCATAGAGAGGTTGGCATCCGCTGCACCGCTCGTCCTTCACGAGATCCAACTCGCCATTCCGACGAACCAATTTTGTCGTGAAGTTTTCGATTTTAAGGGTAGGAACGAAGGACATGTTTGACATGAAGCTAACGCTCAGAGTCTTGTTTACATCGCAGGTGGGAGGAGCGAGCAGCGGTCTTTGGTCACTTCGCCTTTCACTTGGCTGCCATCGCTGCGCAACACAGCTGTTTAGCCAACACCCCTTTAACCGTAATGTTGAAGGAATTGCACTTTGTAGACATCTCCTTAGTGGTCCAAGGACGTCCTTCGGCGTCTGAAATTCGTAAGGCGTCCGCTTGGAAAACAAATTTCATCCATCTCTCTTTCGATCTCAGGGACTTTCTTGTTTCTTGTTTCTTGGATTTTGCAAATGCATCTTCCCAAACGACGTCTCGACTAGTAACACTGAGAAAGAGGAATTCTTGTGGGTCAGTACACATTCGTGTGGCCGTGAATATAGAGCCACTGTGTTGGACGTAGGCGAAGAAGGAAGCCTGTTCAGGATTTGGTCTCTCAATGAAGAGCCGATCCTGGACCAAACAATCTACGAAGGATGAAAATTCCGATATTATAGCAGCAACTATAATTGCCAAATTCTTTACATGTTCGGCTAAAATGAACCTTACCCTCTTCCACGTAGACTGCCGCGCCCTTGAAGACCAGCAAGAGGCCCAAGCACATCAGCCACAGCATGACCCGCTTTTATTCTGTCCAGGGAAGCAACCGAAGGCACTGCTGCGAGACTACTGCGTGTGTAGGACCTGGGTGTTGCAGGGAATTGTCTGGACGTCCCGGATCCACCAATAGGATGTCTCGGCCTTGAGCTCTGAGCCAATAGCCGTCAGCCTGTTTACGTTATAAACAGGAAATGAGAGAGACAAGGAAGATGAGAGGTGAGAGGGAGGGAGGAGAGGGAGGGAGGAAGGAGGAAGAGAGGGAGGGAGGGAGGAGAAGGGGAGAGGGAAGAGGAGGAGGGAGGGAGGAGGTGGAGAGAGGAAAGGAGAGGGAGGGAGAAGGAGAGAGGAGGAGGAGAGGGAGGGAGGGAGGAGAAGGAGAGAGGAGGAGGAGGAGAGGAGGGAGAGGAGAAGGAGAGAGGGAAAAGGAGAGGGAACAGGGGAAGGAGAAAGGGAGGGTGGAGGAGAGATGGAAGAAAATGAGATCTTCAATACAATGGAGCAATCTGTTTCAGGGTTTTTACTGCCTTTTTACCCCGAGCCTCATACCTCTTCTATGAGGACTTCATGATTTTCCTCTTCCTTCT